CCAGACTAACTATGTAACTATGTAAGATCTTTAATTGCCAACATGGTTTTTACAAGTACAAACCCTAAAAACTTTAGCACTTATCACTGTATCTTTTTTCATAACTATTTTTTTTAATCAAAAACCTTTTAACATAAGCAAATATTTTGTGTGCAGAGCATGCTAGGCTTTCCAATAGGAAAGTCTAGAACTAGCTCTACCTTTATTGACTGTGCATCCATATAGAAACTAAAGAGGGGCTTTGTATCTACTATATGGCTGGAGGTGTAACATCAAGCTGTCCTGAAACAACACCAGGAGATGGATACAGACATGGTGATATGTACTATTATGTGTACCTTGTAGGACGCTTGCGCCTATAGACTGCAGAAGCAAAGAGGCAGCTTTTTCCTGCATAGTTAATAGTTACCTATCATCAGCAAAAATATAGCCATCTCATATCAGCTTATTTACACTTTGTTAAAAATACTAAGTCTAAGTATAACTAGTAAAACAATATAGGATTGGCACTGGGGCACACAAAACGTAAGAGAAAAGGGATTTATTGAATTGAAGGGTTCCTTATAGCTCTGTTTTTAACCCCTTCACTGCCCAAAAGTCACAACTGAGACTCAAAACGTTCACAGTGCATGATTTAATTACTTAATTGTATCATGTATGGCCACGTTATACCGGTAAACGGAAAAAAGTGCAACCTTTTCACTATGCCATGTGTTATGCTATTGATTTCAAATTCAATCCATCTGTAACTTAGTAGACAAGATAAGAGGTATTGAGTTACAAAGAAAGCACTTTTTTATGATGTGCTAAAAGCAGTAGAGTTACAGATATCACAGGGAAAACTCCACCAGATGGTTCTACCTAAAGAGACTAAAAGATCTAGCAAAGCAGATTTTACAAAACATCAGATACACCCCAAATTTAAAAGGCCAGACATGTATAGATTTCTTTAGCTTGGTCTGTGGGCTGAACAAAAGATTAAAAGATACCTCCATCCACACCAACAACCCAGATGGATGAGTCTCCCGCTGTTATTGTATTCAAACAGTTGGTGGCGCGGGCTGTCATAATACCTAATCAGTGCCTGCATCTGATTGGATGGAGGTGTTATTTGGCTGACATTTTTCCACTCAAATCTTCCAACAAAAATATCTGTTTATCCACTGGAAATTTGGGCAGATGACATCACAATTTACACCTCGTCCAATCACAGGAAGGCTTATATTTATTGGTAAAAATATAAGGCTTCCCCTGAATGGCAGAGAAGCACTCAGCACAACTCTCTGCTGGAATACAGCGCCTACGACAGTATATTACCTCACACACAACAGTCACAATTATTCTGTAATGGAAATAGTTTGTTTGAGCCAACAAACGATATAAGATGCTATTAAACCTGGAATTCTACTTTCAGCCGAGAAACCTCAAATTGTCTGCATCAATTGATGGCTAACACAATACAACACTCTACTACTGCTATGATGGATAATATCATTCTTAAAGTATATTTTCACTTTTGCAGTCATATTTGAGAAAACTCCACTATACAGTTAGTTATGTATTCCCATTCGCAAACTATCTCCTAATCGCTACAAATGTATGCAATTGTAGGTAAAAAAAAGATTAAAAAGGTCTCCCATGTAACCCATTCATTCCCTGTAGATGGGGGGAGCACACCTGGCTTTGGGATAAAGTAAGAAAGGATAATAAAAAGAGGAAAAAAGGGTCTATGCACATAAAAGAGGACTCAGCTAGTGGCAATAAAAGGGGGAGAGGTCCCCTGCAAAAAGTAAAAAAAGGGGGATGGGGGAAACAGAGGGAGGGATATAAAAAAGGGAGGGCTTTTTTTTCCCCTTTTTAAGATTTATTTCCTTTTAAATGTTTCTCAGTACGAGGTGTCATGGCTGACTGCAAAGTATTTTGAATAATATTAGAGTGAGCCTGTCCCAAGTCTGTCCTCATCAACATAAAATGCAAGAAACCCAGCCGTTACACATTTAACCCTTTGTTAGGACAGACCGGGTTCAAATCTAGGTACAATTGATAATGAAAATCTGCCTGCACAGTACAGATGGGGTTAAAGTAAGATTCCAGGCAAAACCTAAATGATCTTGAAAATGCTCCCTCTCCCCTCCTAATTCCTTTTCTGACTAACCTGTGTAAGAAGTATCTGTATACATAACTATTTTCAGGGTGCTGTACTCCAGCCATGTGATCTCCCCGGTGTCAGCCAACAGCAGCTACAGGGGAGAGGAGAGAGCACTTGACAACAGCTAATTGTGCCAAGAGGTGACCACACCCATAGGTTCTTATGGCCCATTCATTGTCAGTGATCCCTCCTGTCCCCTGCAGCTGCAACTGGATTATAGAGGGAAGCCAGATCATGTGACCTGAAAATAGGTAAGTAAGGTTTTGCCTGGAATTCTGTTTTAATTATGATAAACACAGTTGCTCAGCCCCCTCATGAACAAAGAGAGCTACGTAGGATTTTTTCTTGTCAGAGGCTCCAGAACAAAGCATCTAAACAAGGTAAGCTGCCATGTTTAATATATTTAAGTTATACTATGTGAATGGGGACATGTAACAAATATAAAGTAGATGTTATTCCAATTTGGCTGTAAAAGTGAAAAACCACTTTAAAGTGTAACTTCACACAAAAGCGGAAGTTCTGCTCTTTACCCCCCCCCCCCCCCAACATATTTGGCACATCTTTTTTTCCGCTCTGATTGCAAAAAGCCAGTTTACCCTAGGTTCACGCCTAAGTAATTTCCACAGGATTTTGCGTTTTGCAGAAAGACAGTACAGTCCATTTAACATGATTTCCTATGGGACATGTTCACATCTCCGCGTTTTCACCTAGTGCATTTTTTGGAAAGGGTCAAGTACTTTTTTGAACGCAAAAAGTTGCATTTTTGGTTCTATAGACTTCAATGGAAACACTGAAGAAAATCATGTAGTGCATTTTTGCTGCATTGTTGCCATATTTAAATCTGCCTAGCAACAAGAAAAAACAAAACAAAACAGCAAAACGCATCAAAAACGCGTCAAAAATGCAGGTGCAAAAACACAATGCATAAACCGGTCAAACACAACCTGCATAGATGTGAACCTAGCCTAGCTGTTCTTCAGATTTTATAGGGGCCAGACTGTGGACATTGGGAGCAGAAAATGTTTTGGAGTCAGTAGGAGGAATAGTGCCCCATCATTGGTATCAGTGGGAGGAATAGTGCCCCATCATTGGTATCAGTGGGAGGAATAGTGCCCCATCATTGGTATCAGTGGGAGGAATAATGCCCCATTGTTGGTGTCAGTGGGATGAATAGTACCCCATTATTGGTGTCAGTGGGAGGAATAGTGCCCCATCATTGGTGTCAGTGGGATGAATAGTGACCTATCATTGGTGTCAGTGGGAGAAATAGTGCCCCATCATTGGTGTCAGTGGGAGGAATACTGCCCCATAATTGGTGTCAGTAGGAGGAATAGTAACCCATAATTGGTGTCAGTGAGAAGAATAGTACCCCATCATTGGTGTCAGTGAGAAGAATAGTGCCCCATCATTGGTGTCAGTAGGAGGAATAGCGCTCCATCATTGATGTCAGTGGGAGGAATAGTGCCCCATCATTGATGACAGCGGGAGGAATAGTGCCCCATCATTGATGACAGCGGGAGGAATAGTGCTCCTTCGTTTTTTGTCAGAAGCAGGTAGTATGTCCCATTGTTGGTGTCAGTGGAAGGAATATTGTCTTGTATCACTAGGAGGAAAAGTGACCCAAGGACCAGATAATGGCAAGCAATGGGCCACATCCGGCCCCCGGGCCGCAGTTTGTAGACCACTGACCTAGGTGATCCAAGAGGAAGTTCTCCTCCCCCTCACCCACGTCCTTCTGGGACACTTCACAGGACCATTCACAAAGTGCGATACAACTTGCACATGCACAGTGGTTAGCCGGCTGTGAAGCAGCAAGGAGTCACAGCCAGCTGCCCACAGTTACCATGCTGGCTCTGTGGACTGAAGACTGGTGAAGAAAGTAGCTCAGGTGAGGAGGGCTTTGGTTCCTTGGACAGGTGAGTTTCCTTTTATTAAAAGTCAGCAGCTATAGTATTTGTAGCTGCTGACTTAGAATGTTTGCAGAATGACTGAAGAACCACTGTAAGTTAGCTATGATACTTCTTTGAATCTTGTGTAAGAAACATGCTGCATGAAACTGACACGTTAATTCCATTCATTATTTATTTCAGGTACTTATATAGCGCCATCAATTTATGCAGCGCTTTTACATATATATTGTACATTCACATCAGTCCCTAACCCTCAAGGGGTGTACAATCTAATGTCCCTAACTTACATTCATACATACACATACTAGGGCCAATTTAGACAGGATCCAATTAACCTACCAGCATGTCTTTGGAGTGTGGGAGGAAACTCACGCATACACAGAGAGAACATGCAAACTCGAGGCAGGTGGTATCATGGTTGGGATTCGGACCAACGACCCTAGTACTGCCAGGCAGAAGTGCTAACCACTTAGCTACTGTGCTGCCCATACATTATCTTTTTATGTTAGCGTCAATGATCTACATTTCTCAGGAACTTTTATGAATAGATGTGTTTTTATTTACATTTATTCATTCATGTATTTTTTTTTCAACATTTATTAATTTTCTATTAGTGCTCCAATCAAATTCCTGCAGTGTCAGTTATCTGATTCAAATGTCCCATGACGGTCTGCATTGCATGTGATACATGTGTTGGGTATTGAGGGGCTGGCAGGATTGTCATTGGACTGTGGAGCCACATGCAGGTCTGCTCTCACTGGATCTTGCTGTAATCTCCTGTTTAGTAGTTTCTATTCATATCACGTCCTCCCCCACAGCCTCCGCTCTCTTCTCTCTGGTACACAGTCTCTCACACTCTCTCCCTCCCTTGTCCTTGGTTTCTCTGCAGATCCACTGGTTCTCTTGTTCCATCACTCTGCTAGTGCTCCAGGATCACCAAAATGGCTAGCACCTTCTCTAGAATCCTGACATCCAAGAAATCGGCTGGACTCCTGGCCATGGTCGGAGCTGGGTCCGTAGCAGCTGGATACCTGATCAGCAGAGAAAAACTCAGTGCTAGCGCAGAGCAAAGGAGGAGGCTTTACCCACCAAGGTAACTCTCAAAAATTATTGGGTTTAATATATCCACATATGTTATGTAGTATATATGAGTGCAAGGTTCATATTTATTATATTTGCTATTAGATGCTTGAATAAAGAATAAAACAGAAAAAAAGGTGCTAATAGTTTGAAGTCATGCACTGCAAATTCAATTTCAATCTTTATTTTAATTTAACAAATGATACCCGAGAATGTTCTGATATATAGATTGCTCTATAAATATTTGGTAAAATCAGCTTCATCAGCTAAAATGGTGATGGGGCATTACTGAGTTGCTATGGGAAGCCTAGACGTGGGGGATGGGGGTATGAAAATTGAACTCTGGGGGAAGGGGAACCTTGAATCCATAGAATTAATGAATGGAAATCCAACATTAAAATCCAAGCTTTTAAACAGAGAAAAGAAGAAAATGTCACCTGTCAGTTAAACAATTTACCCACCCATATAAAATTAATAGAAAATGCAATTTTCAGCACCTTGTGTCCATCTTCTGTCATTAATCTAACTAAAAGCATGATGAGGTTTACAATGAACAGAAAGGGAACTCCATCTCAGTGATGAAGCAAATTTTGACACCTATCATAGAGGTATCCCTTTTGCTTTTCTTTTTTTTTTAATTCATTATCCTTCGGTATCTCATTGCATTCCTTCAGAGGATGACATAAAATATTGGAGTACGATTGCTAATAACCTCGGGCCCTGGGGACATGTGCCTTCTTCATTATGTGTAGCAGTGTACGGGCTCTGCTACCTCTGCAGGCTGAGAGAAATCAATCTTTTGTATAGACAGCACAGTGCTGGGTAGCTTTCCAAGCCAGCAGAGATCACTACATCAAGTCTCAAAGCCGTTGCCAATGATCAGGGAATGAAAGGTTAAATATTCCTAGAAAACATGCAATTCCATCTGCACTCTGAAATCCCTCCAACATTGGTCACTAGTTAATGTCTTTCTCTGTAAATACTACTACATAATCCCATGTAACCCATCCTTTAAATCTCAAATCTATCCAGTGTGCCTGCAGTTTCATAGATCGCAGATTATCTGCATGCATCATTAAGGCCTCTTGTGCATGGATGCCTAATGGTCCATCTTTTTAGGCATTCAGGCATTTTTTTAACTGATTTAAATGCAGTCTATCATTTTTAATGCAGCTGTACACACAGGTGCGTTAACTTGCAGCACATATTAATCAGTAAAAAAAAAAAAAATTACAAACATCTGCATTGCTGTACAGTATTTTACACATGTATACGTGTATGAAGCAATCCAAGTAAAGCTAGATGAATTTTTTTTACATGTGCATGCACAAATACATGCATGTACTATACAGCCCATCCTCGTGTTTTAAGTATATAAAGTTGTAGGATCAAAATATATATAAGGTCCAAGGAGCAGGGCCCTCCTTTCCCTCTTGTATTGAACTATATTGTTGCTGTATTGTCTCCCGTTATATTGTAAAGCGCTGCGCAAACTGTTGGCGCTATATAAATCCTGTATAATAATAATATATATATATATACACATATATATACATACATAGAGATGAGCGAATTATTCAAAAATTCGGTTCGGCTGATCCGCCGAATTCGCCAAATAAATTCGCTTTGAGCCGAATATATTCGCTGCGAATTTAACTTATAAAAAGGGTGTTTCTAGGCTTCAGAGAGCCTTTATATTAGTGCAGAACACTGTACCTTTAATTTAAATGCCCTTGGAGTCTGCTGGGGAAGAGAAATAATACTGTCAGTCAGTATGACATGCAGATGAGTGCCGTCGATCTTAGAATCACCGCACACTTCACTCATTTGGGCAGTCACGGGGCCAAAACCAGAGTGTGGAGCCACAGTGTGGCGGTGGAGGCAGCAGCAATGGGAGGCCATACAGCACCCTATCACAAAATGGAACCCACCAGCAGTGTGAGGAGACCTGAAAGTGGCACATGGCAGAGTGTGGCGATGGAGACAGCAGCAATGGGAGGCCGTACAGGGACCCATGACACACTCTGGACCTGGCAGCAGCATGAGGAGGCGGTACAGGGGCCCATGACAGATTACGGGCCTGGCAGCAGCATGAGGAGTCGGTACGGGGGCCCATGGCAGATTACGGGCCTGGCAGCAGCATGAGGAGGCGGTACAGGGGCCCATGGCAGAGTGGCGGAGCGTAAGCAGCTAAAATTGAAGGCCATACAGAGGCCTATGTTAAAAAGTCCCCCCAGCAGCAGCATGGGGAGACGACTATCAAGAGTCCAATGGCAGAGTGGCGGAGCAGAAGCAGCTTCAATTGAAGGCCATACACAGGCCTAGGTTTAAAAGTCCCTCACAGTTAATTCCAATAACGAACTCTACTCCTCCGTGCAATCTACTTACGAGACCCCTGGGCAGTCTGGGTCCAATTTGTGGTAGAGACTGGTTTTGTTCAGCAATGCTTGAGCGAGTAATAACAGGTCTGTGCTGCCCTTTGGTGTCTGGCTTAATGCGCACACAACACTGAACGTCCCAGCGTTTGCAAACCCGCTGAACCACGTTCATGAGGAGCCGGTACAGGGGCCATGAATCAGTATGGACCTGGCAGCAGCGTGAGCAGACGACAGAGGCACATGGCGCAGGGTGGCGGTGTAGGCAGCATTATTCTGAAGCCATACACAGGCCTAGGTTAAAAAGCGGAAGCCGTCAGCAGCGTGAGCAGACGACAGAGACACATGGCGCAGGGTGGCGGTGGATGCAGCAGTATTCGGAAGCCAAACACAGGCCTCGGTTAAAAAGCGGAAGCCGTCAGCAGCGTGAGCAGACGACAGAGGCACATGGCGCAGGGTGGCGGTGGAGGCAGCAGCAATGGAAGGCCATACAGCACCCTATCACAAAATGGAACCCACCAACAGTGTAAGGAGACCTGAAAGTGGCACATGGCAGAGTCTGGCGATGAAGTCAGCAGCAATGGGAGGCCGTACAGGGACCCATGACACACTCTGGACCTGGCAGCAGCAAGAGGAGGCGGTACAGGGGCCCATGGCAGAGTGGCGAAGCGTAAGCAGCTTAAATTGAAGGCCATACAGAGGCCTATGTTAAAAAGTCCCCCCAGCAGCAGTGTGGGGAGACGACTATCAAGAGTCCAATGGCAGAGTGGCGGAGCAGAAGCAGCTTCAATTGAAGGCCATACACAGGCCTAGGTTAAAAAGTCCCCCCAGCAGCAGCGTGGGGAGACGACTATCAAGAGTCCAATGGCAGAGTGGCGGAGCGGAAGCAGCTTCAATTGAAGGCCATACACAGGCCTAGGTTAAAAAGTCCCCCCCAGCAGCAGTGTGGGGAGACGACTATCAAGAGTCCAATGGCTGAGTGGCGATCCGGGAAGTCAGCGTTGTGATTGCAGGTGCAATGCAGAAATTCTACGAAGTAATGCCGTGGGTGCGAAGAAGATCATAAACCGTCGTACTTCCATCCATAAGACGGAACAACCTGCGAACCGGGAGCTTTATTGCCCTGACCCGCTGATCAGCTTCTGGGATACCCAAGAGGCCCATGGCAGAGTGGCGGAGCGTAAGCAGCTTCAATTAAAGGCCATACAGAGGCCTATGTTAAAAAGTCCCCCCAGCAGCAGCGTGGGGAGACGACTATCAAGAGTCCAATGGCAGAGTGGCGGAGCGGAAGCAGCTTCAATTGAAGGCCATACACAGGCCTAGGTTAAAAAGTCCCCCCAGCAGCAGTGTGGGGAGACGACTATCAAGAGTCCAATGGCTGAGTGGCGATCCGGGAAGTCAGCGTTGTGATTGCACATGGCGCAGGGTGGCGGTGGAGGCAGCAGTATTCGGAAGACATACACAGAACTAGTTTAAAAAGCGGAAGCCGTCAGCAGCGTGAGCAGACGACAGAGGCACATGGCGCAGGGTGGCGGTGGAGGCAGCAGTATTCGGAAGCCATACACAGGCCTAGGTTAAAAAGCGGAAGCCGTCAGCAGCGTGAGCAGATGACAGAGGCACATGGCGCAGGGTGGCGGGTGGAGGCAGCAGTATTCGGAAGCCATACACAGGCCTAGGTTTAAAACTGGAACCCAGCAGCGTGAGCAGACGACAAAGACGCACATGGCAGAGGATGGATCTGGCAGCAGTATGAGAAGGCGGTACAGGGACCCGTGGCACAGTGTGGTGATGGGGGCTACAGCAACTGGATGCCAGAAAGTGGCCGATAGGGCTATATACTGCATGGAATTATAAAGTTGTAAAGACAGCGGCCTATAAGGCTATACACACTATAACAATCATGACTTGATTGACCATTGGCCTATAAGGCTATACACAGCATGAATATCATCATGACTTATTCTGAGAGTGGTTTGGAAGGCTATATACAAAAAGTAATTCATGAGCTGTCCCGGACAGCGGACAATAAGTACATATATACAAATCAATTCATCAGCTGTCCAGCCAGCGGCCTCAAAGGCGACACATATAGAAAGCAATTCATGAGCTGTTCAGACAGCGGCCTCTAAGGCGACAGATATACAAAGCAATTCCCGAGGTGTTCAGGGAGCGGCCTGAATGGCTAGGTTATTACTAAATATATTTTTGTGGCCAAACATCGGCCTATAAATAGATGTCTACACAGTGACAAAAAATTATGTCGCCAGACAGCAGCCCCTAAGGCGACAGATATACAAAGCAATTCCCGAGGTGTTCAGTGAGCGGGGCTTGAACGGCTAGGTTATTGTCTATAAATAGATGTCTACACAGTGACAAAAAAGTAGGTCGCCTTACAGCGGCGTATCCTACAAATTGACATTATAAGAAATGGTTTAGACCAAAAAAAAAAAAAAAAAAAAACTTTGATGCGATGCTATACCTTAGTAGATTGTGGAAAGTCGACAAGTCAAGCGTAACTGTGTACATTACAGAAAATCTTAACAAGACAACCAAACATGTGGCCAAACCGTGACCGATACAATAAGTTAACAATGTAAGAAACAGGAGGCCAATAAATAAACAGTCCACCTCATTGATG